AATAAAAATGTGTCAAGTACTTTTTTTACAGGCAGGCCAATGGCTCTTTGACTAGGAAAGATGAGTTACTCAATGATATTGTCTGCGAGTTCAATGAAAAAAGACACCTAAGATTACCCAATGGCACAGATGGCGCTTATGTTGTACAGGTAAAGATGTAGCACATGACATGTTTAAAGCTCACAAACACTCAAATACTGGTGTATTCTAAATGGACAGTATATGTTTTTATGTATAAATGTATTATAACGCGCTCACGTGGCAGACCTGGGTTCGAATCCCAGTGTGTCTGTTACATTTGATTATATAAATATGTTTATGTATGTATGTATACATATAATATATGTAAATATTCAATTTAATAATATTGAATATAAATATAAGGTATAAAATGTAGATATAAAACATAATGTATATATAACACAATTTACACTTTTAACTCAAAGTGACTATTGCACTTGTTCAACAATACCAACTCGTGTGCCAAAGCGATACTAACAGGTTTTGAGTTCTGAAACAGCCAGAATGTTTTATGTTTTATGGTTATTTTGTTTACATTTTTGATGAAAAAAATAAATAAATAAATAAATAAAACTTTGTCCTACCTACCGACCCTATGCTTAAATTTCATGGTACCTGAAACACACTATCTTTTTTGTTTGGCCTTAGGCAACTGTTTAAAACAAAACAGATTAAAAAAATCATGTATTTTTTTCTCTTTCGCTCGCACGCCGTCATGCAAGGCACACATTCCTGTATATAGTACACGTCAAAATGGCAAATTAGTAATATCTTAATGTATGCCGCAGAAGCCCTTGTATTACTTTACTCAGCCATCCGCAGTACATGCTACGTATTTGAAATATCGGTACGGTTTGTCATAAACTCAACCCACCTTGTTGGACTTCTTCACCTCCTTTACCTTCTTTTTAAACTCTCTTTCTTCCTCGGGATTCAACGACAGAAGCTGTTTCTCAGGCCGAGAACTCGCTTCTCCTTTACTTCCAGTCATGTCTGCTAGTTATTACAGGGTGGCATGAATTGTAGAATATGAAAAATAAGCTTGTACTTCTACTGATACCACGTTGCGCTCCCCATCCGGTTTACCATGTGGCAACAAAATGACAACAAATCACGGGTTAAACGTTCACAGAGAGGTGTATGAAAGAACTTGCAGCGCCCCCCTTCCGTATGGAGTGATACTAGAGGAGATTTGTTTTTTGTAAGTGGGAACGTTCGTTTTGCGGCACCAGCTAAAATAATGATCAGAGAGCCAACGATACTTTTCTATATAGGTTCTTTAGATCGGGTCCAAAACATAATAGTCATAATTGTTAATAAATAAGAATAAATCACGGTTTAAATCATGTGATGTAGTTATTTTCTTTTGTTTAGTTCCCTGATTTTTTATTGTCTCTCTGACCATTTCACTGCAACATGTGTTGGCTGTTGTGATGAGCCACCCCCATGCCATGTTTCATCATAAATTTTTGACTTGATTTAGTTTAGTTTCGTTTTTGTTTTTATTTATTTAGTTATCCTTTATCGTTGCCATTTTTTTTTGCAATAAAAACTTTGTGTTTATCTTGAGCTCATGCCTTTCTGACCTGCTTCATTGCACTCAGTTATTTTCAGGTGAATGCTTCGAGTCTGTTGTTTTTTTCCCTCCTCTCCCCTATTGTTTTGCTTTCACAGCTAAGATCTTGAGGTCAGTGGCGGTTCTGGGGGGGGGGCAAGGGGGGGGTTAACGGGGGCCAGTGCCCCTGTAGCACTGATTCTGGCCCCCCCTGTGGCCTCCCCTCCGAACGTAGAATACGCAGTGGCGCAGAGTTGCAGACGCGAAAGGTGGAACCAAAGTGCGTGGCTTAACATTCTAGTCGGACCCTTTAGTGTGCTGCACCACTCAAAATTGAGCGGGAAAATGAGAAGTCCGCAGATAAGCAGATGACCACGACACGAGTGCTATTTTCGACACGATTTATATTTTCAATGTAAAATCACAAAACGAAACAAGCCCTCAACAGTAGCATTATTCAGTCTAATTCATCTTCACTTAAACATTTAACGTTATAAATGAAAAGAAAAACTGACATTACATTATATTTCTATATGAAAAAGAAACACATTAATCCAGACACAGAGAGAGAGTCAGATGATGATAGTGATGAGAGATTTGAAGAGGAGCAAGTTGAAAGCACCAGAGAGGGAGAGACAGAGGACACGGGATTCATTTATTTTCAGAGCGAGGACTCAGCGCAGGAAAGGGATACAAATGAAGATCCTGAGAATTAGGAAGATGAGACTGCAATAGAAGTGGAGTGTGAGACACAGACAGAGGATATTTGCGCTTCCACAAGCACTGGACCATCAGGTATGTGATGCTGAAAATAACACTATCCTGTTCTCTGTGTGGGTGCGTATGCGTGTGTAACTTTTTTAGTATCCCATTTTACCGGTAATTTTTATTTTTATTTCACAGGAACAATATATAAGACATTGCCTTCTAAAATTTGGATAATTATATGCATGTAAAACATTTAGCTTCAGTGTATTTGCAATTTTAGTCCCTGGTCAGGCTTGAGAATGTATTAATTTATATTTATTGAATACAATAAAAAAATAATTCATACAATTAATAAATAGTATCAATCAATACATTTTAGACACTTGAATATGTCTGAGTGCCTCAGCAATCTAAGTGTACCGGGTTAGTGTATATGCTGTGTCCATGCAGAACTTGTGTTTACATTTATTTGGTTTGTCTTTGTCCACAGACATCAGTAGATGTAAAGAGGACCCGCCAATGCAGCCAGAGCTAAAACAGTTTCCCAGGACCCTGATGGGGGACAGGAGAAGGAGCTTCAAGGCAGGCTGGAACCATATCCACCCCTGGCTTGAATATTCTCAACAGATGGACTCGGCGTATTGTTACGCTTACAGATATTTTCGCCCTCCTAATACTGTTTTTTTTTCTCATCACTGTAATGTTATGACTACAATGCTTTCAAAGTTTGATGAAATAAAAAGTCAAATAATATTTCGAATTTGTCTTTTTAGCCCTGGGTTCAATGTGCCCCTCCATCAAAACCCCCGGCCCCAGCCCGGCCCCCTCAGTGAAACTGATCTAGAACCGCCACTGCTTGGGGTACTAAAAAGCAAACCACCAGGCTTCCCGTTCTGTCTCCCTCTGTTAGTTTTTGTTTTTGTTTGTTTCTCTTGACTGATTGTAACTAGGAAGGTAAATTCCTTGTGTGTTTTACATACTGATTCAGATTCCCCACTCCACTCACTGGAAGAAGAAAACATTTTGCATGCTCCACTTTGTCTGTAATATTGTTATTCGTACACCTCTGTCTAACATTATATCCTTTAAAATAATGACAATAATAATAACAAATGAAAGATAAATCAAAAGAGGATAACTTAACATTGGTTTTTAGTCTGTAACAGAAATCAATTTGTCTGAAGTTAAAAAAAAATTAAAGTCAGCGCCACCTACTATAGTGCATGTGCAATTACACTTTTTCTAGTACAGCCAAAAAAGCATGCCTATTTGAGAAGGACTGGCTTTGGGCCACCTTTTGCTTGTTCACCACCATGACTCCTGGATGACTTGACAGGAACAACGAGAATTACATTTGAGTGTTGGTTGGACTCCACGTCTGTGTTAGTGATGTAAATGGCACCCAACACGAAATAATGTACCGTATTGGCCCGAATATAAGACGGCCCTGATTATAAGACGACCCCCTCTTTTTCAAGACTCAAGTTTGAAAAAAGACTTTTTGAACACCAAATTAATTTTTATACAGAAAATAATTACAGTACATCTGAAACAAATGATTATAACAATATATTTGAGAGAACAAGCATGTTATTTTGCCTCATTCAAATCTTAATATCTGAACATTTAAATATGTAAACTAAAGTGCAATCACATTCGTAAATGAATGGCCTCTGGTTTTTGAAATGTAAATTACATCATAACTTCTCCTCAGCTGCCGGTTAACCTGGCCGATGTTCGACCCACTTTTCTCCAGATTGTAGCTATGTTTCTCCATTTTCTCTCTCCATCTATCTCTTCTATTATTTTCTTCTCTTTTCCTTCTTACCGCTATTTTTTATTTTTCTTCTTCGTGCTACCGCTGTTTTTATTTTTATTCTTCATGACAGGGTTTCACTTTGGCCTGGGGAGTCAAGTTCAACGTTCGCTTCAATGATATCTGGCGCCATCTAGCGTCGTGCATGGGTATAATTTCTAGACCCCGAATATAAGACGGCCCCGACTTTTTCAGTCTTATTTCAAAGCAAAAAACACCGTCTTATATTCGGGCCAATACGGTATTTTTTACATCATGTATCGCCATGTATCTGTCATGGCAGCCAGCAAGGACGCAATAATTATCTTGGCGCAGTTAATTGACCTTTGCTAAGAGGAAATCATGATTAGTGTAGTGGTTCACTGTTCTGACTTCTGTGCAGGCAATATGGTTTCAGTTGCTCCTCTGTGTTTGTTTGTGTCAACATAACTGTGCTTGCTGTCTATTTCTGTGTGCACTGCAATTAACTGATGACCAGTCCGGGGTGTAGTCTGCCTTTTTCCCCCAAATCAGATGCCACGTCTCTGTGACAAGGAAGATTGTCTGGCTCTATGTAAATAAGCGTTTTATAAATCAGCATGTATTGTATTATATTGTATTGTATTGTATAAGATTGATGGATACGAAGAATAAAAAGAGTTGTTTGATGGAATTTATAGTAAGAGACATCATTCAAAGCCATTTCATTTGAAGTTTTTTTGTTTTTTTTCCTGGTATCTCTTCATAAAAATCTTTACGAAAATGTTTTGGGAGGTATTTTTTATGGTAATCTTGACCATAATAGGGAAAAAAAGTCGATTGTTTTAGTTTTGTGTCATTATGAAATACCGTCCAGTGGAGAACAGAAGGCGGGCCACAGAAGGGGTGGGAAGAATAAAAAAGGGAGGTGGAGTGCTTGTTAAAGTAGCATAATGAGGTGAAGCAGACGCTTGATTCTGATTTACAGTTCACACAGCAATGTAAGCTGCTCGAAATAAATGCAATGGCAACAAAAATTATTTACTTTACAGTAAATGGGAGACCAGAGCAAGCTGAGTTCCCGGTGAATTGTCCTGCTCAGGATGTCAAAGGTAAGAGCAGAGCATTTACTGCCTATTTTCATTGTGTAATGTGTTTGTCTGAATTCACCAGTAATGAGTTTGGAGTTTCTGAATTGAAGGGTTCTGATTTTGATTGTGATAGTGGTAAAAATACACAATGTTTAACTGGTAATGTGAAAGCAAAGTGAGACCTAATGCACACAGAACTCATAATGGTTTGGTCATGGAAAGAATAGCACAGGAGCTTTCCAACGACATGCAGCTGCCACTGACAGCTCTTCCGTCGGCATGGTCACTTCCCTGTCCTACAAACATTATTGGTGTGTTTTGTTCTGAGTGCTGCGGAAGGTCAAAAGGGTCTAATCTGATGACTAATAAAAGACCCCTACCAACCACTACATTTTGAATGTGACTTGTCAACTATTACGCAATAAGATTGGTAAAAGCTTAAAGCCTAGGCGGGCCTACAACTGTTGAGTATTTCGTGTGCAATCAAACATTTTAAAGCATTTGCGCGTGAAATGTTCTATCAAGAAAAGCAACATTGAATGTCTGTATAGATTCTCGGTCACACAAGTCATGATATCTGCACAGGTTGAAATGAGGCAACTGAACGGCGCTGTTTCAACTTGAACCCAGAAGGCTTCCGTTCTCAATCTTCAGGGAACAGTTCCCTTAGGTCTCGGGTGGCACTGACTTTGATAGTGAAATTTCGCAAACAACCAAGCAAAGTTCATTTGCCTTGAGTCAATGGAAGAGCATTGAATCTTAAGAAACGGCAAAAACTGAAGCAATCTTTCCAGATCTGTTCCGATCCGCAGCTGAAGCCGGTCCACATGACATCTTAAAGCTTTACAATCCTAAAGGCAACATCATCAACATCTCACCCAACCTGGAGCCGAACAAGCCGAACACTTGCTACAAACTCGAGGTGGTGGCTTCTGGCTGCAACAGTGAGCCATTAGGTAGCTTTTCCTTGGCAAACAAAAAAACAAGTAGCGTGTGTATGTTGCCTTCAAAACATTTGACATGACATTTATGTTTGTTTTTGTGGTGCAAATAAGGTGTGGAGCTTGCTGGTGCACTGGGATTTGATCTCTCATCTATGGAGAAAAGGTAAGACCTCAAACCTCAAAGAACAAGTTTCAAGTGCAGCATATGAAATCAGTGAACGCTATATGACAGCAAGCTAAATGTACCGGTACATTTCCTAGCCTTTATTACATCATTGTACAAAGGAGTTGAATGTGTAAAGGCAATTATGTTGTTCCGTCAGACTCAAAGGCCTGGAAAAGAAAATCCTCGATGAAGCAGGAACTACACCTGCAGTCATCTATGAGATGAAGAAACAGGTGGATTCATTCCGGGAGAAACTGGAGGTGAACAATTGTATTTCCCATTTTGAGGACAACTACTCAACTCACAAAAAGTTAAGGATATTTGGCTTTCACGTGAAATTTCAGGACGAACCTCAAATGCATTCAAACCTTTACAGATGAAATTAATGTAACCTTCTCTAAACTTTTGAATGCACATCTTAAATGTTCCAGTACTTTTTGCACAAGTTGCTGTTCTCGAACAAGGAGTTTAATGGCAAAATTCATAACAGGCGTTATGACAAATGACTTGAATTGACAAATAAGTGTCCTGCTTCAATTACAGCTTGAGTTTAAACAGTCGTCCTTCATCGTGCTGTTCACATTTTGACATCATGAGACGAACACGACACCAAACAATGGATCAACAGTACCTTGCCATTGTCATGCTTCAAATGGGACGTTCTCAGATGGAAGCGGCCACTAAGCTTAGAGTGTCATCAGCAGGTTGCAACAGAGATACCGAGAGACTGGAAGACTCACAGAAAGATGTAGAAGTGGACATCCTTTGGCCACATCCCATGCTGATGACCGCTACATTGTGAACAACGCCCTGAGAAATCGGATGATGAATGCCACTCAACACATTAATGCTGGATGAGGGGCCAGTGGGACTCAGTGTTGTTCTCTGACGAAAGTCGATTCACGTCGAGCAAAAGTGATGCCTGCCAACGATGCAAGGAGAGTGCACTGCATCAGCCATTGTTGTCACCGGATGAGCTTTTGGTGGTGGCAGTGTTAGTGTGGCAGATGTGTCCATTCATTACAGAACTGCCCTACACATTGTGAATGGTACAATGACAAGCCCATACTACCTGTATAACATTATTAATCCAGTGACTGGGCCCCGACATGAACAACACAGGCCTAATTTCATCTTCATGGATGACAATGCTGCAGCTCATCGAGGTCGCATCATCAGGGAATGGCTGTTGGAGGCTGGTGTACCTCAAATTCAATGGCCTGCACTTTCTCCAGACCTGAATCCTATTGAAAACCTGTAGGATCAGCTGAGTCGCCGTGGAGAGGCTCGGATCTGTGCACTTCAGAACCTCAACGACCTGATGGCTTCCCTTCAAGAAGAGTGGGATGGCATGCCACAGCAGACAATAAGTCGACTTGTGAACAGCATGAGACGTCATTGTCAAGCTGTAATTGATGCTAAAGGGCACGTTATGAGTTATTGAGACGTTAACATTTTTTGTTGTGGTATACCCACCTTTGCTGTTTACGTTTGTTTCAATTAATTGTTTGAGATGAGGAAATCACCAGTCCATCCTTCTACTTGAATGTCCTACATTCATGATATGATATCAACTCTTTATTTAAATGTCACTTTTCATTTTTATATTTCACCTCAAAGCCAAATATCCCTAACTTTTTGTGGGTAGTGTATATTTTGTCTAATACATCTCAGTACCGTACTTTAAGAAGCATGTACTGTCGAGCTAATGTCAGTCTTGAACCAATTAATTTTAGACTGTGGAGCATCTTAGCTGGCTTGGGTTATTCAAGGACTTGTCAGAGGCAGCGCACAAGCCCTCTCCATTCTACCACAAGAGAACATTGCATAAAACAAAAGAGGAATGTGAGCATGTGCGTGAAAAGTTCCTTCAAATGAGGCATGTGCAACCGTATAAATACTTCACAAACAGTACCTATATTTGCATGAACAAATGTCTTCTTTTCTTATTATTATTGTATATCACCCTCATAGCTCTCTGGAGGTAACGGAGGAAGTGAGGCAGTACTTGAAGACGCCAACATTTGACAACTGGTAGGTCTGGATTTGGCACCTTTAGCCAAGTGTATTAACACTTAGGTAGACAGTTTGCTCATGATTGTCGTGCATCTGGAAAGTATTCACAGCACCTACATTTTTATGCCACAGCCTCACTGAAAAATGGAATGAATTATTTTTTCCCTTAAAAAATGTACACACAAAACTCCATAATGACTTCTTCTTCTTCTTTTCCTTTTGGGTTTTCCCTTCAGGGGTCACCACAGTGAATCAGTTGCCTCCATCTAACCTTGTTTTGTGCATCCTCTTCTGTCACTGTCCTCTTTCACTACATCCATAAACCTCCTTTTCCTCTCGGTCTCCTGCCTGGCAGTTCAAAACTCAGCATCCTTCTCTCGATATATACACTCTCTGTCCTCTGGACATGTCCAAACCATCTCAGTCTGGCTCATATTGTTTCCACTGATCATCCTTGAGAGGTTCCTAGATTTTAATTGGAATGTACCTGTTCTAAACTGAGTTAATTGGACATGATTTGGAAAGACACACACTTGTCTATATCAGGTCCCACAGTCGTCAGAGCACAAACTGCAGATGAAGTCAAAAGAATTGTCCATGGACCTCCAAGATAGGATTGTCTTGAGACACGAATAAGGGGACGGGTACAGAATAGTTTCTGCTGCTTTGTAGGTTCCACTGAGCACAGTGGCCTCCTTCATCCATCAATGGAAAGCGTTCCAAACCACTAGGACTCTTCCTAGAGCTGTCCGCCCATCAAAATTGATCAATGTGGGCAGAAGGGCTTTAGTTTGGGAGATCAGTAAGAACCTCTTGGTCACTGTGTCAGAGCTGCAGCGGTCCTCTGTGGAGAGGAGAGGACTTTCCAGAAGGACAACCATCTCTGCAGCACTCCACCTGCCTGTACTGCAGAGTTGCCAGACGGAAGCCAGGCCGTAGTAAACGGCACATCCCCGGAGTTTTCCAAAAGGCACCTGAAGGGTTCTTAATAAGAATAATAATAAGAAAACCTTTATTCGTCTCACAATAGAGAAATTCCCAATTTACAGCAGCAAAGTTATGAAAGGAAGAAAGTAGAAGAACAAAAAGTATAGGAGCTGCTGGAAAGGCAGCCACTCTCACGGCGCCATCTTGAAGTTATAATAGCATAACCCATGAGAATTACACCATGAGAAAGAAAATTATTTGGTCTGATGAGACAAAAACTGAACTCTTTTGTGTGAATGTTTGCCGGAAATCAGGCACCCACTCCTCACCTGACCAATCCTACGATTTGTTATTTTATGTTAAATGTTCTGTGAAGTGTTTTGTTACAGCTGCAGTTGTTGTGAAGCACTATATAAATAAAGATGTGTGTATCCCTACATTGAAGCATTGTAGCAGCTGCATCATGCTATGGGGATGTTTTTCAGCGGTAGGAACTAGAAGATTACTAGTCAGATTGAGGAAAAGGTGAATGCAGTAATGAACAGGGACATCCTGGTTGAAATCCTGCTCCAGAGTGCTCAGGACTTCAATCTGAGGCGAAGGTTTACCTTCCAATAAGAACAACAACCCAATGAACACTGCCAAGACAATGAAGGAGTGGCTTCAGGACACTTCTGTGAATGTCCTTGAGTGGCTCAGCCAGAGCCCAGTCTTGAATCCGATCAAACGTCTCTTGAGGGATCTGAAAATGGCTGTGAACTGACGCTCCCCATCCAACCTGATGGCAGTTGAGAAGTGCTGCAAAGAGGAATCGGTGAAACTATCCAAAGATAGGTGTGTCAAACTTATGGCATCATATTTAAAAATACTTTTAATTACAGACAGAAATGCAATAACAAAACACTGAGAAATGGCTGTGAAGACTAACAAACAATATCCACTTTTTTTTTTTTTTCAATGGCTGTGAAGACTAACAAACAATATGCACATTTTTTTTTATAAATTGAAAATAATTGCACAAAAAAAATCACATTGTCATTATGGGTTGTTATTTAAGGTTTAATAAGGTGGTAAACATAACAAATTATGGAAAAAGTGAAGTGCTGTTAGTACTTTCCGGATGCGCTGTCTGTCAGCCTCTCTGTGTTTCTGAAAAAGACGTGGTCTCTCATTCTGTTCTCATCTCAATATCAATACGCCTGCAGAGGGCTCACATATCAAAAGGCTCCTGAGTGGCTCAATCAACACCATGTTTGAAGTGGGTACAATGTGCATTGCATTCACTGAGGTTGTTTCATCTGCCCAAAACCTTTATAAGCAAAAACAACAACAAAAACAGATGAGATTTTGTGTGTGTTACATCGTGGTAAACCACAGTATTTTGAAAGACAGTAGTCATGCAGACATCCAAATGATCAGGAATTCAAAATTATGCTTTTTATTCTGTTTTGTTCCTCCTTGTATTATAATTCCACAATTACTGGGAAATATTACATGGTCACTGCCTCTTCTGAGATAGTTTTTCTCTTTTTTTTGTGGTGAGTGCAGGCAATGGGAGGATGCGGAGATAATGGTCCTTCTGCAAGTCATGTACACAGACTTAGATTTTCTCACGACCTACAATATTGAACCTGAAGTGTTCCAACAGTTCCTGTTTGAAGTGTACCGCAGATACAACAACATCCCCTTCCACAACTTCAAGCATTGCTTCTGTGTCACCCAGATGGTGAGTGGGTCGCACACGTGAGCACAGGGAGAAAGCGAGAGATCGTGATAGAAGAAAAGCAAAACAAATGTGTCCTCTCTTGCACAGATGTATGGTTTAATCTGGTTGACTGACCTGAGAAGTAAGATGGACAGCATTGACCTGCTCATCATGCTGACCTCTGCAGTTTGCCATGATCTTGACCACACTGGCTATAACAATGCATACCAGGTAGCAACAGCAAATCCATGACAACAACAAAAACATCTCATGAAAGTCATCAGCCTTACAGCATCCTTGTCGGAATGCATGTCCTCTGTTTCCTTTATTGACTGTAAAATGTGCATTTAAACCATGTAATGCTACATTCAGACCAAACGTGAAATATCGCGTCACCCTGCGTGTCTTTGCATGTGTTTGATTGCGGGGGAACTCCACACGGGTTGCTTCGAGCCGAGGAGGGGTGCCTCCTCCTCTTCCTGAAGAAGTAAAAAACGTTTGAAAATCGCGACTGAATCAGGTGGACATTGGTTGTGTTACTTTAGCTGCTAAAGGCTATCTTGGTGGACCGTGAACTGCTGGAAACAAGTCAAATACACTCATCAGATGCACCAACTCCCTCGCTCCTCATTGTCCAAGCCTGCTCCTTTTTAGCGCAGTCCGAGCAGAATATAATGATATTGTCCCACATCAGGGGTATCCAACCTTGAGGGCCCCCATCCAGCACATTTGACATTCAATTGATGGCCTCTCAGAGATTGATGATGAGCTGATCATTTGAGTCAGATGTGTTGGAGGAGGGAGACACTGAAAACATGCTGGATAAGGGCCCTTGAGGACCAGAGTTGGACACCCCTGTCCTACACTGTTTTTATTTCACCATGCTGTGTGCCTGTGCTTATGTTGCTGCATGTGACCTTGTAAGGTACTGATAGCAGACCTTGTTAAACAGTTCCAAGTGACTACAGACCTCAAAAACCACCTGTAAGGGACGCTGTGTGTAATGAAGTATACCTTTGAAGGTGGTGGGCTGCAAGACGATTTGTGACAAAACTTGAGCGAATGGGCAAATGTGTGGGTTTTTGTCATGCCACCCTGCAACGCATTGCGGCAAATGTGTCATTTGCACCTCCCTGCAATACATTCACAGTCGACCGCCCGAACTCCATTAACTATACATGAAATAGCACCACCAGAAATGCTCATCTTGTACTCAGTCTTTACGGCGCACATAGCACATCATGAGTCTTTGTAAGAAGTGCTTTATAAATAGATATTTACTGACAAACATTAATTTTCTGCAATCCATTCTCACTTGCAACTGAGAAAACGCATGGTATGTATCCATATTCCAGATCAATGCTCGGACGGAACTTGCTCTACGCTACAATGACATCTCTCCCTTGGAGAATCACCACTGTGCTGTCGCTTTTGATATACTGGAGAAGGTACAACTTTTCAACAAAGCCATGAAACATGTTCACTAGGAGGTAAAATAAAGTGAGTGGTAAAGCAGCAGCGATTGAATAAGGGCTTTGTTTTGTCTAGACAGAGAGCAACATCTTCAGAAATCTGTCTCTGGACCAGTACAAACGGATAAGGGAAGGCATTATTAAGTGAGACCATTTTTATTTTCTTTGTGTGAACATCGTCATTCTCCGTCCAGAATGGTTACACAACAGCATATGTTTTTTGAAACTGCAGGTGCATTCTGGCCACTGACATGACAAGGCACAATGAGATCCTCAACAAATTCAAGTCCATTCTGTCTACGTTTGATTTTGACAACAAGGATCACAGAGATGTGGTAAGAGATGCCACTTTTTTGTACTCTGATGACTATCTAAATCCCTCTACAAACTGTGGAATCAGATTTTGATGAGTGTTTTTTTTCTTACCTCCAGATTTTGCTTTTGGTATCTCTCCTAGAATTTATTGTTTTAGGAGCCATTTAGACAGCATAGCCGTAAACTGAAATGACATAAAACAGGTGATATGCTGACTGTCAGTCAAACCCTACCAATGGCACTTTGGAACCTCAATGCAACCTTTTGAAAATAAAGTGAGTGTTTTTGGTAAATGACAGAGTTATCATCTCTGTCCGAATGCTGAAAATGGCGGACACGTCGTAGGTTTATGTTACAGTTCACGACCAAACTACACAGTAAAGCTGCAGTAGTTAAGTTCATGCTTGTAAGGCTTAACAAGAAGAACTTCACAGAGTCATTGCTGACATCCGTCAAATTGAGAACCCACGCATTGACCAATTCGGAATACTTGTTAACAAGGCGCCAGGATACTTCCGGGTGGCAGAACGAGAGTGACTACTGCTGACCTGCACTGAAACGATGACAAAAACTTCTATTTGGGGCCGGACTGCCAGAGACACTGCACTTCAAATTGTTTTTTTAATTTTTTGATTTGCTAAAAATAAATAAAGTCAGCAGAACCTGTTATTGAGGAGCATAAGAAGATATATTGTCATAAACTGTTCTACAGTGAAGATATCAAAACTGCAGGTGGGGCGCAACTACTTCAAATGGAACAGATTGGCTACAAATCTCTATCATTGGGTTTAAAGTTCAAGTGTGAAGTGTGTGAAGTTTGAAATTAGTTTAAGTGAATGTCTGGCTGTGTTGACCGCCCCATTTCACAATCAAAAGAGCATGTTAGCCATTAATCTAAGCAACAGAAAGCTCAAGCGATAATAGCCTTTTGCAGTTACGTAACAGGGAAATAGGTCATCTAACAGATTGTAAATCAATCATGGCCATCAGTCACTAAAAACTAAACTCAGTGGTTGGCTAGGTTCCTTTAGGAATAACAACAGTAGTGATCAAGGTCAGAGTCACCTGAATTAGGCAGTCCTTCAGTGATCATGTTAGATGAGAATGTTTACCTATTCTATTTTTACTGAGTTTACCTGTTGAAATGTAAATTATGGCCTGTGTTGGGTCTGCCTTAGCAGTTTAGGGTTAGGGTCACATAACGTTTTTTCAACTGGCACTTCACTGACATTGCAACTACGGCAGAAGATAAGAATTCCCGTAGTACTCAGCAAGAAGAAAATTATGTACTCATGTTGTATATTCCACTGTTTTCTCAATCACTCTGCCTTAATCTAATGATATGGACGGGTTGTTTTTACTTGTGGTGCCATTTTAGAATGCTTTGGCTTTTGCCACCCAGAACGACATTTTCCGTCACAGTAAATGATCTACGCTCTGACGGTGGTGGTTTTCAAAAGACTGTTTTGACCATGAGGCCAAGCAGTTAGTGCGTGTGCAAGTGCTCTTTTTTCTTTTTTTTTGGCCTGACAAAATACTTGAGGTACCTTTTGCAGCTTTTTCAATTTTCCTGGAAACATCTGTCCATCAATCCATCCATCCATCCGCGCTTACACTCACACCTCGGGACAATTTACAGCAGGGGTGTCCAAACTCGGTCCTCAAGGGCCGCTGTCCTGCATGTTTTCCAGCTCTCCCACGAGCAACAGAGCCGGTTGATGATCTGATCATCTGAATCAGGTGTGTTAGAGTAGGGAGAGATCTAAAACAGGCAGGATATCTCTCTCGAGGAACCGGAGTTCCCTTCCGCCGTTCGATACACTGAGCCAATGGGAGTGCAGCACTCCCACCTGGCGGCAGCAACCCGTTACTTTCTGGGCTCCACCGTGCACTTTGAATCATTTTTCCGTCCGACAAAGATTAAATATGTCACAGACATTACATTAACTATATTCCACAGACCGTTGAACGTCATCGTGTGCAGTACATTTATGATAAAAACAAGTTTATTGGCGATAGAAAGACAAACGGCAACGTCTCTTGTTAGGAGTGCATGCGCCAACTGCCGAAGGTGGTCAATTCATGGGTCCATTGTCACGGCTCTACGTTCAATGCCTCTCTTCACTTCTTGCCGAACAAGAAGTACAAATTCAACTATTTAAATGATGATATAACATGTAATTATTGTATTAAAAAGGAAATCAAGGTAACGCTGTGGAAAAAATATGGAACAACTCCTGAAAACTGTGGAAAATGAATTAACCAAATTAAAAGACTGGTTCGACAGAAATAAACTATCTTTAAATTTAACAAAAACTAAGTTAGTTATTTTTGGTACGAGACCAATTAAAGACCAAGTTAAAATAAAGATAAATTCAATTGAAATAGAAAGAGTTTATGAAAATAAGTTTCTTGGACTAGTAATAGACACCAAACTATCCGGGAAGCCACATATTGATAATGTTAAAAGGAAAATATCCAAAACCATCGGGATACTCCATAAAACTAAGGATGTGTTGAATATGAGTTCCTTGTACACATTATATTACTCATTATTACTCCCATATATGACCTACTGTGTGGAAATATGGGGTAACGCCTGTAAATCAAACACACTCCCTGTCTTAAAACTACAGAAAAAAGCAATCAGAATAATCAATTGGTCTAAATATATCGAACCCACAAATCCACTATTCATCAAATCAAATACAATGTCACAGTAAATGATCTACGCTCTGACGGTGGTGGTTTTCAAAAGACTGTTTTGACCATGAGGCCAAGCAGTTAGTGCGTGTGCAAGTGCTCTTTTTTCTTTTTTTTTGGCCTGACAAAATACTTGAGGTACCTTTTGCAGCTTTTTCAATTTTCCTGGAAACATCTGTCCATCAATCCATCCATCCATCCGCGCTTACACTCACACCTCGGGACAATTTACAGCAGGGGTGTCCAAACTCGGTCCTCAAGGGCCGCTGTCCTGCATGTTTTCCAGCTCTCCCATGAGCAACAGAGCTGGTTGATGATCTGATCATCTGAATCAGGTGTGTTAGAGTAGGGAGGGATCTAAAACAGGCAGGATATCTCTCTCGAGGAACCGGAGTTCCCTTCCGCCGTTCGATACACTGAGCCAATGGGAGTGCAGCACTGCCACCTGGCGGCAGCAACCCGTTACTTTCTGGGCTCCACCGTGCACTTTGAATCATTTTTCTGGCCGACAAAGATTAAATATGTCACAGACATTACATTAACTATATTCCACAGACCGTTGAACGTCATCGTGTGCAGTACATTTATGATAAAAACAAGTTTATTGGCGATAGAAAGACAAACGGCAACGTCTCTTGTTAGGAGTGCATGCGCCAACTGCCGAAGGTGGTCAATTCATGGGTCCATTGTCACGGCTCTACGTTCAATGCCTCTCTTCACTTCTTGCCGAACAAGAAGTACAAATTCAACTATTTAAATGATGATATAACATGTAATTATTGTATTAAAAAGGAAATCAAGGTAACGCATGGAACCAAAATGGAACAAAGTTTAATGTATGCACAGTAATTTCAAGGGTCCAACATTCCTTTTCACATGCACAGAACAGCCAGCAGGGACCGGCAGTGGCTCACTTGCCAGCCCTGACCGCTGATGCACAGTTCTGTCTGCAATACATTAATCCCTCGCTATAACACGGTTCATCTTTCACGGCTTCACTCTTTCACTGATTTGTTTTTGTACAGATTTTTTTAAACAATGCATTGTGTTCTGCATCCTGATTGTCTAAGGCAGGGGCCCCCAACCTTTTTTGCCCCATGGACCGGTTTATGTCAGACAATATTTTTCAGAGACCGGCATTTAAGGTGTGGCGGAAATAATACAACGAAATAATATGGTATGAGCTGCATGAAAACTGTGGCGTTTTCGAAATATAATAATAAACACAAGGAGCGTCTAATCTGGCCGCAACACTCCGATCGCTATGGCAATGTTTAATGCCTTCAAAATACGATACAACGCAAATTCAAAGTGCATGAAAATGACGAC